CGCCGGAGCCCAGCGGGTCGAGGCTGCGGTGGCTGGGAGCGGCCACTGCACTGCAGTCTGGGCGACAGAGTGAGACTCCAACTCAAAAAAAAAAAAATTTGTAAAAATGGGGTATTGCTATGCGGCCCAGACTGGTCTTGAACTTCTGGTTTCCAGCAAGCCTCTGCCTTGGTCTCCCAAAGTGCTGGGATGACAGACGTGAGTCACTACACCTCTCTTTTTTGTTGTTGTTGTTGAGTTGCAGTCTCACTCTGTCGCCCAGACTGGAGGGCAGTGACCGCTCCCGGCCACCGCAGCCTCGACCTGCTGGACTCCGGCGATCCTTCCGCCTCAGTCTTCCGAGTAGCCGGAATTACAGGCATGCACTACCACGCCCGGCTGATTTTTTGATTTATTGTAGAGATGAGGTCTCGCTGCCCAGGCGGGTCTCGAACCCGCGGGCTCAGGCCATCCACTCACCTCAGCCTCCCAAAGGCGTGGGATGACAGGCTGAGCCCCCGAGCCCGGCACTACACCTCTCTTTAGTCTGTGTTTTGATTATGTTCTTCCCTCTGCCTAAAACTTTCTACCAATCTTCAAATGCCAGCTGCCCTGCCCCCTCTTCTGGGAAGCCTTCCTGACTTCCCCAAGCAGGATCCATTCCCCCCTCATTTTGTTTCTGGAATGTGCAGGTTAGTCTGTCCCTTCATTGCTCATTCCTCCAGCCATGTGACATAATTTCTTTCCAGACCCGTTTCACAGCCCCTTGGAGCTGCTGTGGCGTGAACCAAGTCTGCCCTCATCTCTTTGTGTCCTCAGCACCATGGGCGGGCAGGGCCTCGCAAAGCACTCAGGACTATGGAGGCCTTAGATGGGGCTGTGGGGTGGTGGGTTCCCATGGTAAGTGAGTAGGTGTCTGACCACCTCAGGACAGAGAAAGCTGCTGGACTGCATCCTAGTCTCATTCTGCCTCCAATTTGCGTTGTGACTTTGGACAAGTTGCTGTTCCTCTCTGGGCTTCAGCTGCTCCATCTGCAACAGGAAAGCCTTAACCAGATGTTCTCTAAGAACCCGATGAACTGGCCGAGCATGATGGCTCATGCCTATACTCCCAGCACTTTGGGAGGTTGAGATGAGAGGATTGCCTGAGCCCATGAGTTCAAGACCAGCCTGGGCAACTTGGCGAGACCTCATCTCTACAATAATTTTAAAAAATTTAGCCGGGCGTGGTGGCGCCTGCCTGTAGTTCCAGTTACTTGGAAGACTGAGGTGGAAGGATCGCCTGAGCCTAGCAGGTCAAGGCTGCGGTGACCGAGAGCATGCTACTGCACTCAAACCTGGGCAACAGAGTGAGATTCCAACTCAAAATAATAATAACAATAATGTAGTCGGGTTTGGTGGCTCACCCTATAATCCCGCGCTTTGGGAGGCTGAGGTGAGTGAATTGCCTGAGCCTGTGGGTTCGAGACCCCCCTGGCAACTTGGCGAGACCTCATCTCCACAATAAATCAAAAATTAGCCGGGCATGGTGGCGCTCGTCTGTAGTTCCAGTTACTTGGAAGGCTGAGGTGGAAGGATCACCGGAGCCCAGCAGGTCAAAGCTGCGGTGGCCGTGAGCGTGCCACTGCCCTCCAGCCTGGGCGACAGAGTGAGACTCCAACTCAAAATTTTTAAAAAAAGAAGCTGATGAACTTTGATTCTGTGGGACTCCTCCCTCAGTGTTCCCGGAGTCACTCCCCATTGTTGAGTCAGACCTAGATCCATCCAGCCTTCTGGGGCTCTGGGGTTCCTTTGCACAGGGAACAAAAGGGCGCTTCTCCCAGAGCCATGGACACGCCTACCTCTGGAGGCCCTCCCACTACTGCAAGCCTGGGTCTTTCCCACAGTAGATCTTCCCTCCTGCCCCAGGGGGCCTCATGCCTGTCACATGGGGCCAGGGGATCGTCCAGAAAAGGAATGCTGGTAATTCCTCCCACTATGTAGAAAAAAAATCAGTACATTACGAAAATGTCTCAAGTTTGGCTGGGTGCAGTGGCTCATGCCTGTAATCCCAGCACTTTGGGAGGCTGAGGCAGAAGAACTGCTTGAGCCCAGGAGTTCAAGACCAGCCTGGGCAACATAGCTAGACCTCATCTCTACAAAAAATTAGCAGGACTTGGTGGTGTACTCCTGTAGTCCCAGCAACTTGGGAGGCTGAGGTGGGAGGATCGCCTGAGCATAGAAGGTTGAAGTCATGGTGAGCTATGATCGTGGCTAGGTGAGACACATTGAGACCCGACTCAAAAAGAAAAATTCCTCAAGTTTAACTTTTTCTCTCACAATTGTTTCCAAAACCTTGGAAACTCTTGGTCTGCAAGGAGGTTTGAGGGTGCCTTCTCAATACTGTCTCTGCTCCAAAACCCTGAGCTGTAGCTGTCAGTGTGTGGGTGGGGAGGGAGTGTCAGTGCTAAGAAGGACGTGCCACACAGGTATGCATAATTATAGAAACACCCGAGAGAGACATGCACAGTTATAGAAACATCCGATAGCCATTTCTGCCCAATAGAGGCTGTTTTCTGCTGGATCAATAGGAAGGAAGACTTTCCGACCCACACGGATATGACCTCGCAGTGCTGTCACCTTAAATTTTGTGACCTCCCTTGGAAACAGTCCAAGATTTCTGCTCAAACACAATCCTCTGTGTATTCCTGAAAACCGCCGACTCCTGCAAAATCACTCAGTATAAAAATCAGGACTCATGAGAGATATGGGGGTAGGGCAGACCCTCAAAACCCAGGCAACCTGGTCACCAGAGCACTAATAAAGATGGCAAATGGCACCTGGAGAGATTGACTTGAATCACACTGAATGCCACAGAAAATATTCTAGATGCACAAAACCAACAGAATGAAACCAGGCATGGTGGCTCAGGCCTATAATCCCAGCACTTTGGGAGGACGAGGCAGGAGGATCACTTGAGGCCAGGAGTTTGAGACCAGACTGGGCAACATAGCAAGACCTAGTCTCTACAAAGCAAAAAAACATAACACACAAAAAAACTTGCAGGCCATGGTAGCACATGCCTGTAGTCCCAGCTACTTGGGAGACTGAGGTGAGGGGAATCACTTGAGCCCAGGAGTTCGAGGCTGAAGTGAGCTATGATCACACCACTGCACTCCAGCCTGGGCAACAAAGCATGACTCTGTCTCTAAAATAAATTAATAAATCAATAAAAATTAAAAATCCCAACAGGTTGGGTTCAGTGGCTCAGCCTGTAATCCTAGCACTTTGGGAGGCGGAGGCGAGTGGATTGTCTGAGTCCACGGGTTTGGGACCAGCCCGGGCAAATTGGCGAAACCTCATCTCTACAATAAGTAAAGAGAAACAAACAAACAAGCAAACAAAAACTAGGCAGGCATGGTAGTGCGTGCCTGTAGTTCCAACTACTTGGAAGACTGAGGCAGAAGGATCGCCGGAGCCCAGCAGATCAACGCTGGGGTGGCCGTGAGTGTGCCACGGCACTCCAGCCTGGGCGATAGAGTGAGACTCCAACTCAAAAAAAAAAAAAATCCCAACAGAATGGACATGCAGGGAATGTCTTGATTAGGGCAGGTTCAAGAAGACAAAAGTGATGCAAGGGGAAGGGAGCTGAGCCCTGGGGGGCTGGGAGGTCTCTCCCTGGAACATCCTTAAAATGCAGCCTCAGGGCTCTTGCTGTCAGTGCAGCAGACAAGCTGGGGCTCTTTCTTTTCCTGCTAGTCCCCTATCCCATCCCATTCCTCTTGCCCAGGAAAATAGCTTAGGAACCACTGCCTTCCATGTCATGGGATAGCGCTGCTTCTGCTTCCGGCCACATGCACGGAGGCACGCCATGAAAGCGTGCATTTGGGCAGGATAGCCATGCTGTGTCATTCTTCCCACTGTGGTGGCTTGGCTGTGATTGCTAATGGGGCAGGGGACACAGATCCAGATGTCCCCAGCTGGTGGGCCCAGGTATCCCTGGGTTAATGAAAAGTCTCTGTCAAGCTCCTGAAGCAACGGGCCTTTCTAGAGGCTGATACTTGAGCTCTTGCTGTGGGGAGACAGACGATGGTCTGTAGATGGCAGGTAACTTCTGACATGAGGAAGTCAGTAACCCAAGGGCAGGCTGAGGAATTCCCAGGTATCAGAGATCCCCCCTTTCCATGCCCCTCCCAGGGCACAGGCTTCACCAGAGGGTCCTGAGTGCAGGGTGGGAATTGCACCTGTGAGCCTTATGGAAGGAGGGACTTCAGTAACTGTTAGGAAGCTCTTTGCCACCTGGGCAGGAACCCCCCTCGAAAGAATGTCTCTATGGGTTGACCCTCACCCCTTCTTGAACCCCCTCCAGCCAGGCTGTTGCTCCACCAGCCCAATGAGGACGTTCTGTCGAAATCACCGATGACTCTACCTTACTAAGTCCCACTGGCCATTTCTCAGA